CTCTCTCTCTCTCTCTCTCTCACACACACACACACAAGACAGGGCGAGGCGATGCCAGCAAACATCGATCCCGCTGAACAAACTGAACATTAACAAACTCCTCCTCCTCCTCTCCCCACGACCTGATGACAGGGAGAAATTTACTCCCCAGCCGCAGAGCGCCAGGCAGAGGGAGTCTATTAAAGGGACAGTGTCCCGCCAGGGGAGAGGGGCTGGGAGTGGGGACCCGGCGTGCCACCCCTGCTCGCTCTCGCCGGTGTGCCCTCTTTGCTGGTGAGAGGACATGCCCATTAGGCGCAGGGACACCCCTCGGGGGAGGAGGTGAGAAGGGAGTAGATTTGGGAGGAAAGGGACAGACTGATGGCCAAACTAGGCAGCTGAAAAGGGAGCCGCAGGGGCCCCGGCAGCTAACCAGCAGGGACTTGGATCACATCAGGAGGGTGAGAACTTAGATTTGCTCTGGGCGGGGGAAGGGGGAGGGCGCCCATCCAGTGATGACCTCCATCCTCTAAGTCACTGACTGACCACAAAGATGTCCTCCCCCTGCTTAAGTTCAATCATGCCCGTCCCTCCCTTCTCCTTGCTCATCAGAGGATAGTCATAAAAACAAAAATCTCCCATCTGCCTCCTTGAGAGTTTCATCACATATTCTTCTCTTTGTTTTGCTTAAATAGCATTTATTGAGCACCTACTATGCGCCTGTTCTGGAGAGACAGTAGCCATCGAGAAAGGGTAGATCCTGGTCCTCTGACTGTTTATTTTCTAATGGGGCAGAAGACAAGTCACCCCTCAATATCCAGTTTTTGCTTAAACGACACTTTCTCCCGCAGGCCTGCCTCACCTGAAATCTCACACATAACCAGCCCCCAGCCCGTTTTGCTATTTTATTTTCCTCCACTGGGCTTACGAACGCCACACGTTACATACAGTTTTCTACGTTGTTTATTGTCCTGGTTCCCCTCCAAATATAAGCTCGCTGCTACGACCCCCAAATGAGGGCACAGGATGAGACATACAGCAAGTGCCCAATAACACATGTGTTGAATGAATGAAAAGCAAACGAACAAACAAGATCGTTTTAGAGCAAGAAGCACCAGGAAGGTGCTGACATAGGGCTCTGGGACAGTGTCTGAAGGGCGGGTGGTGGGGAGAAGCTCTCGCCTCGGTGCAGAAGAGGGTCTTCAAGCGGAGACAGATGCCAGCCAGCACGCGACTGCCCAGCCCTGCTCGGGGCCAGGCACTTTCAAGGTGCCGGTAACAGCTCTGAACCTGGACCCTGCCCTCAAGAAACTCTCCTTCCAGCAGGAGAGACACACAAAGGGGCAAGCAACGCGGAGGTGTGCTTAGGAGGGGGAATTAACCAGGCAGGGTTCCCAGGCAGGGTTTCCTGGGGAGTCGCAAGTCAACACTGACTCCTAGATATGGAGGGTGAGGCATAAAGAGAACGCTAATAACGATGCCCTTAGAATTAAAAAGACCGTCTTTCCAAGCCAGGGCATCCACTGCCTGCATGAAAACCCTGAGGTCCTTGTGAAGAGGCCCATTCCTAGGCCTTCCCCTGGAAGGTGATCAAACCCCAGCTGTATGGACATTTGGGGTCCTAATTGTTTGGGGGCCTGTTCTGGGCACTGTAGGGTGTTCTGCAGCATCCCCCGCCTCCGCCCACTAGATGCCAGACCCTTCTACCCTAGTTGTGTCTACGAAAATTGTCTCCAGACATTGCCCAATGTTCCCTGGGGGGTGAACTCACCCCGGAATGAGCACCACGGCCCTAGATCTTTTAAATCAGAAACTTCCTGGCGAGGGCTCAGGAACCTGCCTTTTGAACAAGCAATCCCCACTCCCCAAGAGAATCTCCTGCTCACTCCAGTCGGAGAACTTCTGCTGGAAAGCCTTTGTTCTTTTGGAATCAGACACACCCAACGTTGTAACTCTGAAGCCAACACAGGCTCAGACCTTCATATCCTTTAGGAGTTCCAGGGGTGGCACTGCTACCAAGGTCACTGTGACAGGGTTCGCCTGTGCCCACTGCTCACTACCCGCCCCCACCCTGTACCCAGCCGACCTGAGGCCCGACCAGTGTGACCTGGGACACCTCCCACCTACAACCCATCCACCTGCCACCTTTGCCCTCACCCGAGGGGAATTACCAAGGGTGACTAGTTACACCAAATTTTGTCTTAACAGTTCTTTGGGGCTAGAGGAAAGGTAACTTTCCCATCCCACCAGTCAGCCACAACTTGTTACTGGTCCTGTTTGTGCTGTGGTGTTTCATCATTTTTTAGCGATGATCCCTGCTCCCCCTCCCAGGAGGCAAGGGCCCCCCTTCGTCTTCTCCGGTGTGTGGCACAGCCGGTTAACTCGCTAACCCACCCACGGGCCCCCACCCGTGATGAAACCCACCCAACCCCAGCCTAGTCCTTAGGGAACTGAGGCAACGGAAACCCCACTTCCCAGTTGGCGATGTCAGGAAAAGGTTATTAACCCTAATTGATTCTAAGTACCCAATACGCCTTGATGGAGCTGTGCTAGGGAGGATCGCTTGTGCAGCCCTGCCTACAAGGAGCCACAATGATAAAACCAGGGAGGTGTCGACTTAAGGCCTGAATCTCAGAAGGCTGAGCCTGCAGGCAGCTCACCGTGAACCCTCCATACTGTGTAGAGTCCCATGCCTGTTGATTTGGTGTTCACAGTACCTTCAATCATTTTAAAAAACATCCACTATGTTAGGTGGCAGGCACTGCCCCAAACACAGGAAACGCTGAAATGCATAAGATAGGATTCCCTGTTTTCAAAAAGTTTCTGTTAAAATGACACCCAAAAGACTGAGGACTCGGAAAGAGGGAACTGGGGGGCTGGACCCAAGCTTGGACAGAATCAGGATGGAAATCGGCAGGAAAAGCTGACTCTGGGCTACAGGACCTCTTCCAGCCTCTCTCCAGGATTCTTCTCTAAATTTTACCTCTAATCTCTCCTCTTTTCCAACAGCTGGTTATATAATAGGGTGGGGGACTTATAATACCTCCACTAAACCTAGCTTTATGTTGGCTGCCAACACTTCTGGAATGTTCTTTCATTAATTTGCATTTATTTTTCTCTACTGCTACTGTTGTGAATATTTAGCTTGGTTGTATCAACAAAGAAGATTTGGGCCATCCCTGTGGGATGCATAACGCCCTGGCACCCAGTGATTGGCCAGTGTTGTAGATACGACACTGAAAAACATTGACCCACTTGAGTGAAAAGGTTATTTATTCCCTTTCGATTCTCTTTCAATCTGAGAACGTCTCGGTTTGGTGCTACTGCATCTTTTATGCCTAACAACTGCTAACTTTTCTTTTTCAACCAAGAAACCACAGATTTGAGGGTAAGAAGCTTGGGATGGACGAGAGGACCTGGCTAGATAGACTTTTACAAAACAGTTTGTTTTTAGTGAACTCACTTTAAGGTTACCTGTATCTTAGTGGAAGATACTGCTCTCCATTTAGGGGAGCAACTTAAAGTTTGATATAATTTATGAGTTTTAAAAATATATACAGCTAAGGGACGATAGAGAATAAATAATGTTGCAGGTGGGATGTGGACATGGCCAGGTGTGAGAAAGGGACTACAAGCGTGACTGGAATTTGCAAAGTACTTTGCAAAACCACAGACTCGGGCACTTTTGGAAATTTCTTCCAAGAGTTGGTGGCTTGGAATGAAGCTGCGTTTGGGTCTCCAGAGAACTTAGCATTCTACAACCCGACATGCACACTTTGGGGTGTGTAAAGGGAAGGCTAGATCGAAGGTCTCGTCTGCACCCTCCAGAACGCGCATTCCCACGGTATTCTGGCTCAGCATCAGAGTCACCTGGGGACTTTTATTTATTTGTTTTATAAAGAGCCACAGGCCCCACCCCGGAATTACTAAATTAGATCCCAGGGTGGGGCCAGTAAATCCGAAATTTTGGAATTTCCCAGGTGATTCCTTTTTTCTTTTTTTTGAATTAAAGTTTAAATCAAGGAACAAAAATGCTCAGGTGATTCTCATAAAGTGCCAGGCATGAGAACCACCCCCGTACAACAGTTGAATTTTGCCACAAATGAACCAAGTTGGTAGAAGAAGTTGCATGCAAGGAACAGCCAGGGGACCTGTTGTCGGGGTCCCCCAGGAGTGTGGTTGGGGAGCCTTCTCATTGCTCCCACAGAAGCCCGTGAACGACCCTTTCGAGCACATGCGGTCGTATTGAATTTTTGGTTGTGGTTGTGAGTTTGCCTATCTTACCACTGGACTCCAACCCAGTGCAATTAAACAAATATTGGCCAAGGGCCTCCATGGTGCTGGG